GATTTATAACAGTGAGTAGCAATCCTGAGGAAAAGGCAACACTAAAGGTGCAGATCGAGTGATTCTCGATCTGTAAAGCAAGAGGGAAGGCGGCCGTCGTGGATCTCGCGAGACGCAAGATCCAAGATGGCTGCCGTTCGCCCGCAAATGTCCGCAACGGACTCGCTCGTCTTGGGTCCGTTGGACGAATAAACGCCCCGGCCTCCCTCCACCTGTCCCCACACAGTCCCAAACAGTGCCGGTAAATGAAATACAAGGAGAACAGGTCTGCGGAGCAGGTGGGGCACGGGCAGCCGTGACGCCCGGGGAACGAGCAAGGGAAATAAAACTTCTACAGGTAATGCACCAGTATACCAGGGGACAGTGAGAAAACAGTCATGGAAACAGTATAAGTCTAGGAGGGACAGGTATAGGAGAGCCAGGAGTATATTAGCAAGAAGTATGAAAGGAAAAACGAATACAAATAGTCTGTAAAAATGAGGTTACACAGGAGAGGCAAAATACTCTGACCTGTGTAGGCTGGAGCAGCAAAGAAAGAGGGAGTGATGTCACAGACAGGGCCTTTTGTATGCATTCAGACTTTTTTCTGATTGGTTGTTCTGTTTCTATGCTAGTGGAGATTTCAGTAAAAAAAGATATGCAAATATGAAGTCTCCTGTCATGTTGTAAAATTATTCAGGCACACACTGACAGACACATACACAGTCACTGACACACACACACACACACACACATTCACTGACACACTCACATTCACTTCCATAGACAAGTTGTGGAACTGCACTCAGCCCTTCGCCCTGGAATCCTAGGGTGCTCTTGGATCAATCCCAGTACCAAAGAGACCAAATATAGCATATATTAGTAGAAAAGTAATCCAGGCACTCCAAAATGTTCCAAAGAATAGGCAATTTTATTGGACCCAAGAACCAAAATGCAACGTTTCGACCCCTTAGGGCCTTTGTCAAGCTTGACATTTTGGAGTGCCTGGATTACTTTTCTACTAATATACACTCACATTTACTGACACACACACCCACATTTTCCCCAACACTCCCTACTTTTGGGTGGATATTCCACTGGGGGCCAGTGGGGCTGCTGGGCAATAAGGCAGCCGGACATGCAGACGGGCGGGCGCTCTAAGTTGTCAGCGAGGGAGCAGTGATAGCACTCCCTGTTAGATGTTTTTCTGTCTGCAGCCAGGCTGCGAATTAAAAGCAGCTCACTCAGTGCTGTTGTGGCTGAGCTGTGTACATACATTTTATAAGGAAGTCTTTCTGGCATGAAGGGGGAGTAGCTAAGGAGGCAGGTTTATGGGCCGCAGTCTGCTAACTATAAATATTTTAAAATCTATCAAATGCATTAAAGTTTTATTGGTAACCTTTAAAGTTTTCCTTGTGTGTTCTCTTGAAATTAGTTCCCTTGAATTTGTGGATTTGTTCCAGATTATTATTATTATTGGTATTATTATTAGTATTTATATGAAGATGACTGCTTGGGCAGAGGCATTCTTTGAATTAAATGAGGGAGACACATAGGAAGAAAAGACTATCTGAGGCGGGCAGGCAGGTTTGATGCCAAAGGCGTGAGTAAAGGATTAATTAAAGAATGCAATGCAAAACACATCAATAAAGGTCATGTTTTATGAATCATTTGTTTGAACTCATGAAGGTGTATGAAATAATGAGGCAAATGTGAAATTAACATGAAGAAGTAGTTATTGAAAGCATTTTTTTTTCTACACTGATCAGCCACAAATTTAAAACCACTGACAGGTTGTCACGATTCGGGAACCTAACACGCTAACAGGTTACAGAAAGTAAAGGGTGCAACACCGGTCCTTAGAATGGCCGGGTTAAGCACACTAAGAATAGTCAGGAGACAAGCCAAGTAAACGGAGCCAGAAAACAGGAGTGCGAGAAACAAGCCGAGGTCAACGGAATGGAGAATACAGGAAAATCGGAATAACAAGCCAAATAATCGGTAACCAGAGAGCAACACGAGCAAACTGCAATACAGGTATCACAAGACCACAACAGGGCACTGAGAGACAGGAAATGTAAGTATATAAATCCTGTGCTTAATAACTTCCAATCAGAATTAACAATCACACGTGGGAGATATTTACACCTCCCACTGTGATTATGGTACTGTGGCTTTAACGCTGGGTCACGTGACTGACCCCGGCATTCGCATAAATGCGCGGGCTCCCAGCGTGCAGCGTTATACATGCTGCCGCTGGGAGGAGAGCAGGAGGACACGAGCGGCGCATAAAGCTGTGAGGACGCCGCTCGCCGACAGGTAGGATTGCAGCCTCCCCTCACAGTCGCCCGCGGAGCCCTGACACAGGTAAAGTGAATAACATTGATTATATCATTACAATGGCACCTGTCATGGGATGGGATTTATTATGCAGCAAGTGAACAGTCAGTTCTTGAGTTTTATGCAAGGGACTTTGACAAGGGCCAAACAGTGATGTCTAGATGACTGTGTCAAAGCAACTCCAAAACGTCAAGTCTTGTGTGGTGTTCCTGGTATGCAATGGTTAGTGCCCTCCAAAAATGGTGCAAGGGAGGACCACCGGTGAATCAGCATCAGGGTCATGGGCGCCCAAGCCTCATTGATACAAGTGAGAAGCAAAGGCTGGTCTGATAACACAAAATTGTAGAAAAACTTAATGCTAGTTATGATGAAAGGTGTCAGAACACACAGTGCATCACAGTTTGCTACATATTGGACTTCATAGCCTCAGACTAGTCAGAGTGCCCGTGATGACCCCAGTGCAGCATCGAAAGTACCTTCAATGGGGATGTGAGAGTCAGAGCTAGACCAAGGAGCAATAGAAAAAGGTTGTCTGGTCTGAAGAATCACATTTTCTTTTAGATCAGGTGGATGGCCTGATGCATATGCTTTCTTTACTTGGAGAATAGATGGCAGCAAGATACACTATGCAAAGACGGCAGGCCAGCGGAAGCAATGTTATGCTCTGGGCAATGGTCTGGTGGGAAACCTTGGGTACTGGCAGTCATGTGGCTGTTACTTTGATATGTACCACCTACCTAGAGATTGTTGTAGACTACATATACCCCTTCATGGTAATGGTTTTCACTGATGGCATGGCAGTGGCCTCTTTCAGCAGGTCTCTTACAAACCATACTGGTTCGTACTGACCACTTGAAACCTGCCGTTCAAGAAGCTGTACCCTGCCACACTGCAAACATTGTTCATGGTGTTTCCTTGGCCTCCAAATTCCCCAGATCTCATTCTGATTTAGCAACTGTGGGATATGCTGAAAGTACAAATCGGACACATAGAGTTCTCACATTCAGTGGCGTACATGCCGCGGTTGCAGGGGTCGCAGCTGCGACCGGGCCCGTCAATCCAGGCCAACCTGCGGACCCCTGCGACCGGGTATGCACCGCCATCTTTTGCGACTGCGGCCCGCGCTGCAAACCGCCAGTTCTGCCGTCCAAGGGGTCCATCGGGTGGCCCATGCTGTTAAGGCCAACAGATGGATATGTATTGTCAGGGGGTCCGGTCAGGGCTGGGCGCTTTAACAGCGCGACCGGGCCCCCTGAGATGAGATCACTGCTGGGAGGAAGTGACTGCCCCGTCACTCTTCCCAGCATACAGAGTCCACGCGGGAGGGAGGAGGAGGGAGTCAGAGTGGGAACTCTGACTCCCACCATCCTGAGCCACCACTGGACCACAGGGAAAGTCACCATCCTGCACCTAAAAGGTAGGAAACAGGAGGGTGACTAAAATATTTTGTGTGTTTGTTTGTATGTGTGTCTTGTGTGTGTGTCCATGTGTCTTTGTATGTATGTGTGTCTGTCTGTATGTCTGTCTGTATGTATGTATGTGTGCCTGTCTGTTTGTATGTATGTGTCTTTGTAAGTATGTATTTCTGTCTGTATGTATGTATGTATGTATGCCTGTCAGTTTGAATGTATGTGTCTTTATATGTATGTGTGTCTTGTGTGTCTGTCTGTATGTGTGTCTGTATGTGTGCCTGTCTGTTGTGTGCCTGTCTTTATATGTATGTGTATCTTGTATGTATGTATGTATGTATGTATGTGTGCCTGTTTGTATGTATGTGTGTCTGTATGTGTCTGTATGTATGTGTCTATGTGTATGTATGTATGTGTGTGTGTCTGTCAGGGGGCGTGTGGGGGAAGAGGGATGTAGGGGAGGGGGGGCCCACTGATCAGTTTCGCACCGGGGCCCCATGGATTGTGTGTACGCCACTGCTCATATTGTAGGTGTTAATGTCTTGGTGCCAGATACCATGAGGAAGACCTACACAATATTAGGCAGGTGGTTTTAAAGCTGTAGCTGATCAGTGTATGTTACTTATGATGGCCATTAGGAATAGGAAGAAAATTTTATTATTGTTATTGTTGGCAAAATTGGTAGAAAAACATAATCATATTCACATATTTTACTATTGCAGTAATAGTTTTAGTGCAACATAGTACTTTCCACCTATGTGTGTTTAAATAGAAAACAGAAATAGATCAGAACACATTATGCATCAACACATATTACCTTTATGTCCATAATACTACGAAAATGAGAATACCTGACCTATTCTGTATTGAAGGCGATAGATTCCTCTATCCTGAAAATCAATATTGTAGTTCTGCCTGTCGACTGTGTGACGTTAGTGTATCACCGTCAAATATTCCCTTCATCTCATAAAAGAAAATCACCCAATCCTCCACAAGAAGAAATATCCCTGGTATCGCCGAATAATCCACACATGAGCCAAAGCTTAATGCTGGAACAAGACTGATTTACTGAAAGCAACATGCATTCAATTTAAACAGTAACAGACTCCTCCTCTGGGCCAGGCTAGAAAATTGAGTTTCAGCAATATACTAAGCTCAATTATCTGCTGGCCAGAAACATTACAATTTATAACATTTTCAGAAAAGTACTTTCTATAATACATACAAATATAACAGTAACATCCGTGGGTAGCTGAGGATACTGGTAGTCATATATCCAAATCTCACAAATTTCCGTTCGGTAGTTTCCGTGTCGCATCGTGTGGAAGTTTGACCGGCTCGCCATGTGGAGGTATCCGATTTAGAGTTCCATGAAATCAGCAGCAAGAGCCGGTCTCCGTTCACGTCTAATTACACGAAAACCACCGTTCGTATGATGCAGCAGGTTACATGTGAATGTTCCCCTCGTTCGGTAGGTTCTATCTACCGAATGCCAGTTTGATTAGTGGAGGGGAACGTATTCAGCCAGGACTTCCATGAGGACCGGGCGTTCGCATGTCTGTCGTGTCGAAAATAGTTCCAGGAAATTCATGCGTAAGTCCCGCTGACCGCATTCGTGAGTTTTAAATTGACCGCCATCCGTTGTTCTCGCCACGTGTTCGTATGCCGAATGGCGGCCACCTAGTAGCAATTAAGTTGCGGTTTTCTCTGCGTTCTAATGCTGATTGCTACCCAGGGTGGGTGGTCTCCGTTCGGTAAACGAATACATTTATTCAATACATAGTGAAACGAACTGATACAGGCATTTAAACAGCAGGGAGAATGTATAACTGAAGGCACACAGGTAAGTACATGAAAATCCTTCACAGACTGACATACAAAATCTGTCCTAAATAAACATCCTTTCAATGACAGTCATACCTCCAAACAGACACATATACAAGGTCAGAGACACAAACATTGTCAGACACACACAGCTACACATACACACTGTCAAACAGACACACAGACAGTTTATATAGAGGTATATGGCTGGGAGGGGAAAAGTAAGGTTGTTAGCCCATGACATTTAATCACTGCAATCACTATACTAATATCTTAGTAACATCAAGTGTCTAGTTTTAAATCAGTCATTTGCAGGTAAATCAGTTTAAATCTAGACTAGCTGGTGGTGCTAGGACAGCGGGTAAATAGTTAAAACTCCATGCAGCCAAGTGTTAAGTGATGCAAGTAAAAATTATCATGTTTTAGAATATCATTAGAAAGCCCTGTTTTTCCATTCAGTTTGCGGTTTGGGAGGTTGCCAAGGTTGACACATCCCTTCTGTGTCCGACCCGACCCCATAGGCATTGCCAGTGATGCAAGTTGCACTACTACCATGTCCCTCAAAGCTCGTCTTAATTGCATACCTCCCAATGTTGGAGGAATGAGGTGGGTCTTAAGCCTTTTTTTTTTTTTTTTTTACATAAACAAGTAAATACAGTATATACTCAAGTATAAGTCTAGTTTTTCAGCACATTTTTTGTGCTTAAAAACCACCACTCGACTTATACTCGAGTCACTGTCTGTATTATGTATTATGGCAACTTAGAGAGCCGCGGCAACGATCCGCACGGCAACCAGACCGTGAGACTTACAGTGGAGCTGACCGGAACGGAGGAGAAGGGAGCTGACAGGAGCTGCAGGAAAGGTAAGTAAATGCTTCCTGCCAGCCCCCCCCCCACTGCACAGCCCATGCCACTGGACCACCAGGGCAGGGCCGGATTAACATAGGGGCTGATGGAGCTGCAGCTCCAGGCCCAGGCCCATGGAATAGGCCCATTTAAAAAAAAAAAAAAAAAAAATTTTTTTTTTTTTTTTACACACTACTCTTAGGTTTGCCACCTGACTGGTATTTTAATGGCACAGACGGTATTTGAGGCTGCCTGGCCATGCCGGTATTGCAGTAATACCAGCAATACAAATGCAGGTAATTTTCTCAGAATAAATGGAAATTACTCTGCAATACCAGCACCGGCCAGTAGGGGTCACTGTGTGTGGAGAGAGGCAGGGATAGGAAGTTACAGAATATCCCTGCCTCTCTCTACTACTCACTGATCCGTGGGGGAGCAGCTACACAGCACAGGGAGTCCAGATAGCAGCTCTACAGCTCAGGTAAGTGAGGGATCGGAGGGGAAAGGCAGCAGGGACACATGGGGACACTGAGACACTAGGGGACACATGGGGACACTGAGACACTAGGGGACATACACTAGGGGAAACTGAGACACTAGGGGACACATGGGGACCCTTAGACACTAGGGGACACATGATGACACATACACTAGGGGACACTAGGACACAGACACTGGGAGACCTGGGAACACTGAGACACTGGAAAACATGGGGACACTGAGACACTTGGGGACATATGGGAACACAGACACTAGGGGACACAGACACTAGGGGACACATGGGGACACTGTCACTAGGGGACACTGAGACACTAGGACACATGGGGACACAGACACTGGGAGACCTGGGGACACTGAGACACTAGGGGACACTGTGAGACATGTCTCCCAGTGTCCCTATATGTCCCAGTGTCCACATGTCTATGTCCACAACTGTCCCCATGTCTCCCAGTGTCCCCAAGTGTCTGTCTCCCAGCCAGTGTCCCCAGGTCTCCCAGTGTCTGTGTTCCCATGTCTGTGTCCCTAGTGTCTTAGTGTCCCCAAATGTTTCAGTGTCCCCATGTCTCCCAGTGTCTGTGTCCCTAGTGTCTCAGTGTCCCCATTTCTCCCAGTTTCCCTAAATGTCTCAGTGTCCCTGGGTCTCTCAGTGTCCCCAGTATCCTAGTGACATGGGGACACACTGAGACATTGGGACACTGGAAGAAATGGGGACACAGACACTGGGAGACTAGGGGACTGGGCGACATGGGGACACTGACACTGTGATACATAGGGACACTGAGACACTGGGTGACTTGCGAGACTGAGACACTGGGAGCAATCCATCTATACAGCAGAATCAAACTGTGATTAGTTTGGTGATTTTACAGAATTTTCTCTGATGTCACTCCTTGTGATTTACATCATGTGATGTCACGCATAACTAATTAATTATACAAATTATGAAGGCTGGTATTTTTTTCCAAGAAAGGTGGCAACCTTAACTACTCTTCACTACTCTTGCTTAAAGGAGCACTATATGGTCAGGAACACAATCATGTATTTCTGACCCTATTATGTTAAAACCACCACCCTGGCCCCTTCTTGCCTCCCTAAATATAGTAAAATATTACTTGTATTCAATTCTGCAGCTGCTGGCTCAGAAGTGGTGGTCTGAGCAAATTACAATACTTCCCCATAGGACTGGCTGAGACTGTCAACTAGGCAGATAAGGGGCAGAACCAGCACAAGTCCAACATAGCCCTGGCCAATCAGCATCTCCTCATTAAGATAAATTGAATCAATGCATCTCTTTGAGGAAAGTTCAGTGTCTGCATGCAGAGGGTGGAGACACTGAATGACAGTGCTTCACACTAGGCAGTACTGCCCCATGAAGCACCTCTAGCAGCCATCTAAGGAGCGGCCAGTGGAGTTATTTTCTCTGAAAACACAGTGTTTACTGCAAAAAGCCTGAATGGAATGATTCTACTTACCAGAACAAATACAATAAGCTGTAGTTGTTCTGGTGACTATAGTGTCCCTTTAAGTTTGGGAACTTAAGAGGGATGTATGGGAACAAAACTTGTGTGCACTTGCTGACATTAAAGTTAGTTTAGGTAATGCAGATGTTGGTCTCTCTAACACTGTGGCATGTCCCCTTTCTTCTACACTCACTACAGACCTCTTTTCTCTGTCTCAGACTATATACCAGGAACTTCTGCCTGCTAGTAAGAAGGTAAGGAGACAAGTGGACCAGCGAGTGCTAGGGGACAGTCCTTTGAAAGAATGGAGTGAGCGCATCATTAGGATTGCAGGATTGGCAGGCAGCCTGACACGCATTCATGCCAGGCTGACCTTCCAATTCTTTGGACAAATGTTCCCCTTTTTGGGCATGTTCACCCCTTTTGGCAGGTCTTGTCACGTGATTCGCGCCAGTGGCACACCCTTTTACCCCGCCCATTAACTTCCTGCTTCACTGGACACTGCTGTTAGGGGTTACTTGAAAGATGAAATCATAAATTAGAGAGGGATTAGCATAGAGTATGTGTTTTCTTATAGCTGCATCCTGTGAGTTTCCCTCCAGCACCATCTCCATCAGATACATGACGCTTGGGAGGTATGATTGTTTTAGTGTTTTTGGTCAATAAGATTCCATAATTAGGCCCATCATAATTGTCAGCACCAGGCCCACTCTGCTTTTAATCCGGCCCTGCACCAGGGATTAAGATAGCCCCCCTCCCTGACCAGTTAACAAGCAGGGAGGGGGGGACAAAAAAAATTAAAATAATAAAATAATAATAATATTAAAATAAAAATTACAATAATAAAAATGCCCTCACCCCACCCAGTTCACACACACTACACAAACACACACTCTGCATTATATACACACACTCTGCAATATATACACACAGAGTTCTAAAGGTAAATTTGTGGTGCTACTTCTGTAGTGATGCTAAATTGAGTGCTGTTTGTTTTAATTTATTTCAATATTTTAATCATTCAGATTTTATATTGTTGTGGATTATTTGCAGATTATATTGAGTGTGTATATAATGCAGAGTGTGTGTTTATATGAGTGTGTGTGTATATATAATGCAGAGTGTGTGTTTGTATGAGAGTGTGTGTGTGTGTGTGTATATATAATGCAGAGTGTGTGTTTGTATGAGTGTGTATGTGTGTGTGTGTGTATATAATGCAGAGTGTGTGTGGTTGTATGAGTGTGTATATATAATGCAGAGTGTGTGTTTGTATGAGTGTGTGTGTATATAATTATAAAAATCACAGAATTTCATAACCCCAAGTTTCACCCTCGACTTATCCACGAGGCATAGCATATTTCACAATTGTTGGTCACAAAACTGCATTCGACTTATACATGAGATCGACTTATACATGAGTATATACGGTAACCTTTTTAACTGTGCTATGGAGTGTTCTCTACAAAAATGGAGGAGCTTGGTTAAAAGCTCACTCAATGGTGAATTCCCAGCACAATTAGCTTCTAAACAGTTGGTGACTGCAGAAGTGCATATTGGGACATGGGACCCCGCACGTCCTTTTAAGTAGAAGGACTAATAGAAGACCAATTGTTAATATAATGCACCATTTTATTGACACATCATGTGGTGAATGAAGGATGGACATGTCCAAAATGTGTCAAAATGACAAGTAAATATCAACTATGGAAGATTTATTATGAATCCAACTTAAAAGACCCCTAAATATTACCATTTGAGAAATTATATGGATTGGTATCTATGCCAACCACAAAGAAAAATTTAGTTTGAATCTTGCAGTGCAAAGTTTGTATCAAAAAGTATAAAATAACTCTTTAACCCAGACCACAG